TGGTAGGTAGTATGTACAGGGAGAGGAGTGCGGAGTGTATGGCGGTGGGTAGTATGTGCAGGATGGTGTCAGTAGGGCAGTGGATGGTGTCAGTAGTTCTTTATTTTTATTATTATTTTTTATTACAATTTAATGTTTTATTATTTTTATCATTTTTCCAAAATGTTTTTGGGTGGCCACTGGATAGTGTCAGTAAAGCAATGGAGTGGGTGTCAGAATTTATTTATTTTTCATTTTTTAAATTATTTTTTACAATTTATTTTTGTATTATTTTTTCACATGTTTTTGTGGGGGCAGTGGACAGTGTCTGCAGGGAGTGAACAGGGAGCACTAGTACTGTATATATTGGGCTGTTATTAGATTGGGATGAACAAACAGAACCTGCACACACATAGGAGCACATGCAGGGTCTAGAAGGGAAATCTGATGCACAGTCAGGGGTGATCAGTGCAGCGATGGGGACAGTTACCGATCTCCCTGTATGGCTTTCAATGAAACAGCTGGAAGCTGATTCTCCTCCTTTTCCTCCCACGGCTTTCAGCTGCTTGAAAGCCATACAGGGAGATTGGCGCTTGTAACTGTTCCCACCACTGAACCGATCATTCCTGACCTTGCTCCTGCTACATCTCATCCATGGGTGCAGGGTTTTCACAGCACAGTGGGGCCCCCAATCCTCGAGGCCCATGTGCAGTGAACACCCTGCACCCATAGATGATATGCCACTGGCCAGTGTACTTAACCTGTTGGAGTGTAACAGAAAGTAGAAATTTGCTCCCCTTGATAAATCAGCCCCTTAAAAATATAGCTGTGAGATATTATTTTAATTTTAATGAACAGCTTGCATCCTACAGAAATAATTTTCAATAAATGAATCTGGTTAGGGTGGTTTTGTCAATCAGTTTCAAGTTAAAGATCATTTGAAACAATTGCATCTAGGATCAACTGATTGTTTATCAGTATATGCAGAATCAGCATTACAGCATCTATCTTATTTTCTAACAAACACAGGAGGTGCAAAACCAATAGTTGATGGCTTTCCCTTTCACTGTCCTGTGTATATGCCAACACGCCCCATGTAGAATAATGAGCAATCTTAATAGGACATGTTTGTACATGCATAGAACAGCAGATGGCAAGTCATCGAGGAGCATATAGACCAGGGGTCTCCAAATGTTCTAAGCAAAGGACCAGTTTACTGTCCTTCAGACTATAAAGGAGATCAGACTGTGGCTAGTGGGAGTAGAAAATGTCCCTGCGTCAGTGATAGCAAACAATAACTCAGGCTTGATGGTCAGTGGGGTAGAAAAAAAAATTAGTGCCTGTGGTCAGTAGAAGAAACATTGCTCCATGGTATCAGTGGGAGGAACAACGTCCCAAATACTGCAGTTGGTGTCAGTTGGAGGAATTATGCCCCACTGTTAGTGTCAGTGTAAGGAATGGAGCCTTATCCTTGGCATCAGTGGGAGGAAAAGTGCCCCATTGTTGTTATTACTGGAATGAATAGTGCCCCGTTGTTGCTGTCAATGGGAGGGATTGTGCCTCATTGTTGGTATTAGTTGGAGGAATAGTGCCCAATTGTTGGTGGTAGTGGAAGGAATAGTACCCCCATTGTTGCTGTCAATGGGAGGAATAGTGCCCCATTGTTGGTATTAGTGGGAGGAATAGTGCCCCATTGTTGGTATTAGTGGGAAGAATAGTGCCCTATTGTTGGTAGTAGTGGGAGGAATAGTGCCCCATTGTTGGTATTAGCGGGAGAAATAGTGCCCCATTGTTGGTATTAGTGGGAGGAATAGTGCCCTATTGTTGCTGTCAATGGGAGGAAACGTGCCCCATTGATTGTATTAGTAGGTGGAAAAGCACCCCATTGTAACTGTCATTGGGGGAATTATGCCTCACTTTTGATATCAATGGAAGGAATGGTGCCCCATTGTTGGTGTTAGTGGGAGAATAGTGTCTTTTATCAGTGGGAGGAGTAATGACAAAGAGTTGGATAAAGGCAACCAATGAGCCACATCTGGCCCACGGGCCACAGTTTGGTGGTCACCTCACCCAATGAAAGGGATGATTACTATAGAAGATGGTCAGAACTAGCAAGGCTAATAAAGGTGACGGAAAGAGTTTGTAGACATGATACAGGAGATGGCCATAGAATGTAAGTATACAACAATACAAGCCCATAGGATGTGGATATATACGACAATAGATGGACAGAGATTGTGGATATATAACAACAGATGGACAAAGATTGTGGGCATGTTACAGAAGATGTCTAAAAGAGAACAGATGGGCTACAGAAGACCATGGAAACTAGGGACATGCTGCAAGAGAGAGACTGTGAACATTACATCTCTAGACCACAAGAGATCACTACTATTATTGCGCTTTTATAAATCACTGCCACATCCATCAGCCCTCCTAAATATGACTGTTGACACATTTTATATTCCTTTCAGCTAGATGATATACAGGATAAAAGGTCAGAAAAAAAAAAAAACAGACAATGAGAATAGAAAATGGATAGCACAAAAAAGTAAAGATGTGTGAAAGATATAAACCAAACCATTTAAATAGCAGAGGATAGTATTACAAATAACTTACTTAGCACTTAGGCAGGAAAAACACTAAGTATTGGCAAGGTCTAAGACTAGATATACACTTGAGCGTGATCATGATTATGTGATTTTTTTTTTTATTTTTTTTACTTTTTTTTAATTTTTTGCTCCCCTCTTTGGTTTCAGTATTTTTATTGATTTGACAACTGTTTTTCCCACACATGGATGAAAGTTCTATGCATACAATAATCTATACAGAAACAACACTGAACACATTAATGGCAGGAATCTGTGGTTTAGTGTCTGGGGCCAATATGTAAAGTCATTACATGTATTTTTCAGGTGCTTCTATTGGAGTAAAAAAAACACGTAATCAAAAAGCTCCTTTACTTTTTCCTAGCGTTCAGTGTCAGCCCATTGCTCAGATGTGAACTGGCACAATTGAATATGTATATAATGTATATCTGATGTCAAGCACTGAAGCACTTTGGAAAAACAGATTCGAATTGCTCAGGTGTGAAAAGAAGGCTACAGACCCCATAACAGATGCTAAAGAACCATATATGGCTAAAGGGACAAAATTTGGGAACTAGTGATGTTGACACCAGTGTAGGGCTAGATATTCTGATGGTAAATGTAAATGGTAAATGTAAAAAGGCTTGTTAAATTCCCTAGGGGACCCTGTGCACAAAGCACTTGTCCCCTTTAAAATCATAGTAGCTGGCAGTTTGCGCTGTGTGACTAACAAAGCACAACAGCAGACACCAATGGCTACTACATTATGCACAGACAAATGTAGTAGTTGACAATGTGTGTTGTTTCCAGCTCATGCTTTGTGAATCACCATTGCTGCTCCTCATCTGCTGTCATTCAAACTACACAAGACGACAGTTACTACTGTAACCATTTCCTCAGAACTAGGTGGCGGGTGCAGGAGATCAGCCTTTTAACAGCGGTAGAGTAGGCATGGCTGCAGAATAGAGAGGGGGGTAGCAGAGGTTGCCTTTCATTTCATTTGTACAAATATTGCAGATGAGACTTTGGCTTCAATGCTACTTGTATGTCCCCCATAGGAATTCCCATAATTTGGGCTTCTGTCTGGGGTGGAGCTACCGTCTGCACTAACAGTAGAAAGTTACAGCATTTTATTTCTGTAGCACCCTCCTAGATAGGTGCTAGGTTTACATAGCTAGATTTAGTTTGTATTTTGATAGGTAAATTTTGTTGTCACACTGTAGTCAGTGTGGTTATAATGGTTGTTAGGTAAAAGCATAACTTGAATCTTTAAAACTGCTAGTTAGGCCTGTTCAGTGAGGTCAGCTGCTGCTTGGTTGATAGCTCCCTCTGCTTCCAGTAATCTTGAGTAGCTTCTGGATAATAGGTGTGGAGCTATGCAGAAGACAGCATGAATATTGATACAGCCTTGGCCTATCCCAGAGAGAGAGGGTCTAATGACATGCTGGGTAACTTTATATATTCAGTGAGCATGCTGAGTTCTGGGTCTTTCCTGTATTCCTGGATTGTTCCTGAACTGTACAGTTACTGTTTTTGGAGTATCCCACCGAATTCCCTCATCCCTATCCAAGTTCTCCAAAAATAAAAACAACAAAAACAACACCCCTAGACTGGTCATTGAAGAAATGTGTGAATGAGCCTATGTGCCTGGCTGTGGGGAAAAGCTTTTGGGGAAGACCTGGACAGTATTCCTGCTGCTCCTACGGGAGTAGTGCTACATTTCCAAACCCCAGCACCAATTTTAATGGGGACACATTCACACAGGCCACTGGGAGATTTACCAAACCTTTCTAACAGGTGAAAGTCCTTCTTGAACCCATTTATATAGTATATTCACCAAAATTTAATTTAAAACATTTTATTTACTGCTGATATAACTACCTAAAATCTGTCTTTATATGAGCTTTCTATATATTCCCTTGTACATCAGGACTAAGAATTAGAGAGGGAGGACCAGCAATTCGAGCCATTTAGGGCTCTATGACATTGTGCAATACAGACAGTCTAGAGGGCCGGTTCACACCAAAAAGTGAAAGGAACATACAGGGCTGGTGCTTCTACTAGGCAGCCGCTCAGGGCGCACTGCCACCTAGGAGCACCTGGGAGCAGCACAGGCTGGCGCTCTCTCAGTGTGGGGCGCCGCCACATCATGAATGATCCTTTAGCTCAGAGGAGGGGTGGCAGAGGGGAGGAAGAAAGGACAGAGGAAGATGCTGGGTGTCTGGGGTCAGTGTAGCAGCTGAGCTGCTGCTCCTTCCAGTGTTCCTCTCAAAGTCAGTCCCTTACTGCAAGCTGGCTAGTGGCTGTGGAGTTCTAGCCCTTCTCTTCCCATTCATCAGCGGAGATGGAGCTGCACCTGCGGAAGAAGGTAATGTCTGAGTCTGATGTCTCGTGTCTGTGTGAGTGTGACCCAGGCCACCGGACATCCATCACATGTGCAATGTGTCAATGAGTGATGACATCATCATGATCCCACATCCTGCTCTTCTAGTGCCTGCTGATCTGTGTCAGTGTTGGTGGTGGTGTGTTGTGTTGGATCTGTCACTGCAAGCGATCACTCAGTTCAGCTGCCTGCTGTCACAGCGTTTTATCTCCCCCCATTGCCTGGGGGATTCCAGCCTGGGATCCTTCAGAGTGTGGATCCATCATCCTCCACTCACTGCAACTGTCACCCTTCCACTGCCAGCCACAGATACAGTCCTCCCATGACACTGATTTTGTCTTTAATGTTGGTGCTGGTAGCATCTTGTGGCACTTATTTTTGCAAATTAAAAAAATTTAGCAGTTTCCCGTTTTGTTGATTTTAAATTTTCTACTGTTATACTTTTTTTTGTTTTTTTTTTGTGGGGGGGGGGGGGGGAGGCGCAAGTAGCTGGTCTTGGCTCAGGTGCATAATAGTCAAGCACCGGCCCTGGGAACTTGCTCACATTATTATGAGATTCCTGTGCATTTTGAGTAGAGTGCATTTTTAGCCCATTCATTTGAATAGGCTGAAATCGCACTGCACCAAAAGTAGTGTATGAACTACACTGGACCAGTTACAGATCTGGTACAGGCAAATGCACTATGTTTGCAACCTACATTTGGGGTGTCATTAGTTTTGTATTGACACTTGATGCAGATTGAACGTGCAGTGTGTTTTGAACGTGATAACGGAAACATACACAGAACGCAAGTTTTGCGCATTACGTTTTGGTGTGATTGGGCCCTAAGACTGGATGCTTGCACAAGAGAACAGAGCACAGAGTAGATCTTCTTTATATTGTCCAATATGGAGGATGTTAGTGACTGAACTGTATGGCTTAGAAGTGATGCCACTATTAATGCAATGTGACAGGTACATCCAAATTGGTGGAATAGCTTGACAGAATTGCTGGTAAAATTCTTCACATATACAATCAGTGGCATATTATGATGTACAGTATATCTTCAATGAGAACTTGAAATAGACATCTTTGAATAGTTGAATTAAGATAATATTTACCGTATTTTTCGTTCCATAAGTCGCACTTTTTCCCCCCCAAAAAGGGGGGAAAATGTCAGTGCGTCTTATGGAGCGAATATAAAGGGGCCGGCCCGGTATTTCCGCCGCCACCATGTCAGAATACCGGGCCGGCTGCTCAGCTGTTCTCTGCGGCAGGAACTCACCTGTTCTTTGGTCCAGCGCTGTAGTCTTCCTGCGCCGGCTTCTTTCCACCCCGGCATCTGTGACAGCTGGGTGCCCACTGCGCATGCGTGAGAAGCACTGCACTCTGTAAATGGTCTGGTGTCTTCTGGGACACGTGACAGGTCCCAAAAGACGCCGGGCCATTCACAAAGCGCAGCGCTTCTCGCGCATGCGCAGTGGGCACCCGGCTGTCAAAGTCTGGTGCCCACAGTATAGGAAGGAGAACTCCGCGGAAGTGGGAGCAGGTACCTGTCAAATTCAGGTACCCGCCCCCCCTCCCTCCCTAAAAGGTCCACAGTGTCTGGTCATCTCCTGTACTGTCCGCAGTCTCTGGTCATCCCCTATACTGTCCGCAGTCTCTGGTCATCCCCTGTACTGTCCGCAGTCTCTGGTCCATCTCCTGTACTGTGTCCGCAGTCTCTGGTCATCTCCTGTAGTGTGTCCACAGTCTCTGGTCATCTCCTGTACTGTGTCCGCAGTCTCTGGTCATTCCCTGTACTGTCTGCAGTCTCTGGTCCTTCTCATGTACTGTGTCCGCAGTCTCTGGTCATTCCCTGTACTGTCCGCAGTCTTTAGTCCTTCTCCTGTACTGTGTCCGCAGTCTCTGGTCATCTCCTGTACTGTCTGCAGTCTCTGGTCATCTCCTGTACTGTGTCCGCAGTCTCTGGTCACTTCCTGTACTATGTCTGCAGTCCATTGGTTCAGAATATTTTTTTTCTTGTTTTTCTCCTCTAAAACCTAGGTGTGTCTTATGGTCAGGTGCGTCTTATGGAGCGAAAAATACGGTAATTTAATAGACAATAACTCCGATGTTTTGAGTGAGAATTCCTCTATAATATTAGCATACTATAGTAGGAACAACCTCTGAACAGCTAGTGGCATTTTAGTATGAATTTGGCAGCTTTCCAGTCTTTGCAAAAGTAACACAATATAGTATCCACCACAGATACCTTTTAACTTAGACAAATTTTAGAACTATTAGCAGCTCTCCAAATCACTTCTACTGTATTATTATGGTTTTTTCCAGTTAATTTGTAAAAAAAAAAAAGAACAAAAAGGCTTTTACACAGATCCACAGCAGTAGGTGTTAGAGAGGATCTCAATTAGGTCACTCAGGCCTGACCGTTACCCAGTAACTGTAGTCATTTTGGCTGAGTTTCCTTTAATCCACGATTTCTATATTCTCATCAAGGACAGCCTGTATATATATATGATCAGAGAGAGAGCAATATGTCACTGAGAATTATGCCCAATTCCTGATATGGAATGTCACTGATGCCTCAGGTATGTGTCAATTATCATCGGTCAGAGCTGCACACAAGCAGCCAGATCTCAGTGCTCTCCTCTCACTTCCATCTCTTCCCCCTGTTCTAAACAAGCTAAACCTGCCCTTTATTAAAGGCTGGACTGATGACCTTGGCGGAAGCTAGATGATAGAGCCAACTAGCTACCAGAAACATACAACTAGACAAAAAAAGAAACTCTACAAACAATAAATATTTAAAGTGTTAGCTCATCTTTTCAGAAATGAAATTAAAAAGGTGAACTAACACTCTGCATCCCTGTTACACTTTCCTCTGTGGGTTGCATAGCTTCAATGTCCATGAAGCCCAGTGCAACGGTCTTGGGGTTTGAAAACTATACTTTTCTTTTCCTAGAGAGGCTCGGATGGATCATAATAGTTATGATTGGTCAGCTCTGACACATGACCTTATTAACAGCTCTGATGTGTCCGATCCATGGAAGTTGAAACTATGCGTCCCACGGAAGTAAAAGTAGCAAGGACTGGGGTTATGGGGGGGATGCAGGGTGTTAGTTCACCTTTTGATTTTTTTATCTGAAAAGATGAACTTACACTTTAGGTTTAACTAATAAATAGCAAATAAAGGATCAGTGTGAATATGTATAATAAAATAATAATAAACAAAAAACATATACAGTCAGGTCCATAAATATTATGACATCGACACAATTCTAAAATTTTTGGCTCTATACACCACCACAATGGATTTGAAATGAAACGAACAAGATGTGCTTTAACTGCAGACTGTCAGCTTTATTATTATTATACAGTGTTTATATAGCACCAAAGGGTTTGCTCAGCGCTGTACATTAGCGAGGGGGACATAACATGAGACAATACAGTACAATACAATACACGAGGGGTTCGAGGGCCCTGCTCTTTCGAGCTTACAATCTAGGAGGGAGGGGATAGTGGTACAGGAGGAAGTGGCTCTGGGGGATGGAGTGGTAGGAGGAGTGGAGGAGATCGGTTGTTAGGTGAGGTAGGCTTCCCTGAAGAGATGGGTTTTCAGGGTGCACCTGAAGGTGAGGAGGGTAGGTGACAGTGTGATGGATTGGGGTAGGGAGGTCCAGAGGATTGGGGAAGTCCTGGAGAAGTCCTGCAGTCGGGCGTGGGAGGAGGAGACCAGGGAGCTAGAGAGTAGGAGGTCTTGTGAGGAGCGAAGGGCACGGGTAGGGTGGTATTTGGGTATCAGGTCAGTGAGGTAGTTCGGGGAAGCGTTGTGAATGGCTTTGTATGTCAGAGTTAGTAATTTGAATTTAATGCGTTGGGCAATCGGGAGCCAGTGAAGGGATTGGCAGAGGGGGGTGGCAGATGTGGAGCGGTTGGTGAGGTGGATGAGTCTAGCCGCTGAGTTCAGGATAGACTGGAGTGGGGATAGCATTTGTTTGGGTAGGCCAGTGAGAAGGGAGTTGCAGTAGTCCAGGCGTGAGATAATGAGGGAGTGTACGAGTTGTTTAGTAGTGTCTGGGGTGAGGAACGTACTTATCTTGGAGATGTTGCAGTGGTGGAGCCTGCATGACTTTGATAGCGATTGGACATGAGGTTGGAAGGAAAGGTTTGAGTCCAGGGTGATACCCAGGACTTTGGCGTGTGGGGTGGGATTGATGGTGGCGTTGCTAGTCGTGATGGAGGGGATGGGGGGGGGCGCAGGGGAAAACTAGGTGCTCGGTTTTGGACAGGTTTAACTTGAGGAAATGAAGCGACATCCAGTCTGATATGTCGTTCAGGAGGTGGGTGATGTGGGCGGAGAGAGAGGGTGAGGTGAGGGGTGGAGAGGTAAATTTGTGTGTCGTCGGCATAGAGGTGATAGTTGAAGCCGTGGGTGTGTATCAGTTTGCCAAGGGAGGAGGTGTAGATGGAGAAGAGGAGGGGTCCGAGGACAGAGCCTTGGGGGACTCCAACAGAGGGGAAGAGAGGAGGAGGTGGCAGCGTTATAGGTAATGCTGAAGGAGCGTTGGGATAGGTAGGAGGAGAGCCAGGAGAGAGCAGCGTCCCTGATGCCAAAGGAGTGCAGTTTAGTAAGGAGGAGGGGGTGGTCGACGGTGTCGAAGGACGTCGAGAGGTCAATAAGCAGGAGGACTGCGTAGTGGCCATTAGCTTTGGCGGTTAGTGATTTTAAGTAAGGCGGTTTCGGTGGAGTGTAGGGGACGGAAGCCAGATTGTAATGGATCAAGGAGGTTGTTATCAGTGAGGTGGGCGCTTAGGCGATTGTAGGCTAAGCGCTCAAGGAGCTTGGAAGTGAATGGCTGCAGGGAGATGGGTCTAAGGTTGTTTAGGTCAGTGGGGTCAAGGCAGGGTTTTTTGAGTATGGAGGTGATGTGTGTGTGCTTTAGGGGGGAGGGGAATGCGCCAGTAGAGAGAGAGATTGAAGATGTGTGTGAGGGAGCGAATGATGGAGAAGGGGGGTGACTGAAGGAGTTGTGAGGGGATAGGGTCCAGGGGGGCAAGTGGTGAGGCGGGCTTCAGTGAAGACCTTAGTGACCTCAGTGGTAGCAGGGCTGAAGGAGCGGAGTGTTTGGGAGGTTATAGTGTGCGGGGCATAAGGTATGGTGGGGGGCAGTGCGGTTGCGAGGTCAGAGGAGGGGAGAGTTGAGGGGGTGATGGAGGGAGGGAGGCTAGGTGGAGAGGTAGATTGCGAATTGACAATGTCCTTAAGGATTGCGTCAATCTCGTTTTGGAAATGGTTGGCAATCTCGTGGGCGGTAAGTGAGGTACTGAGTGGAGGTGTGGGGGGGGAGAGAGCAGGGATTTGAAAGTGGAGAAGAGCCGGCGAGGACAGGTGGAGAGGATGTTGATGAGGGTTACGAAAAATGCTTGATTGGTGGCGTGGAGGGAGGTGGTGTAGGTGAGGAAGGCGGATTTGTAGAAGGAGAACGCTCGATGGGATCTGGTTTTGCGCCATAATCGCTCCAGCGCGCGACTGCGTCATTTGAGACATTTTGTATGGTCGTTCTTCCAGGGTTGAAGCGGTCAGGGTCTGATGTTACGCGTGGTTAGGGGTGCCAGGAAATCTAGAGCAGCTGACAGTGAGTCATTGTACGCAGTAGTGATCAGGTCAGGGCATGTCAGTGGAAGGATACTGTCATACAGACGGTCAGCTGCTGAGTGGAGATGGGTCGGGTTCAGGTTGCGGAGGTTACGGCTGGTGATGGTTTGACACTTTGGGGGGGGGGGGAGTTAGGGGAGGGAGAGATGGAAAACGTGAGGAATTGGTGGTCAGAGAGGGGGAAGGGTGTGTTAGTGAAGTTGTGGAGGGTGCAGAGGTGGGAGAAAACGAGGTCCAGGGTGTTCCCATCGGTGTGGGTGGAGGACTGTGTGCACTGTGTGAGCGCGAAAGAGGAGGTTAGGAGGAGGAGTTGGGAAGTAGCCGGGTTGTTGTTGATGTGGATATTGAAATCCCCGAGGATGATGGTCGGTAGCTCAGAGGAGAGGAAGAAGGGAAGCCAGGCGGCAAAGTCGTCCAGGAAGAGGGATACGGATCCAGGAGGCCGATAGATCACCGCAATCCTCAGGGGGGTGGGAGAGAAGAGCCAGATGCAGTGGGCCTCGAAGGAGGAGAAGGATAGGGAGGGGGGGTTAGGGAGGACCTGGAAGGTGCTCAGCGGTGACAGAAGCATGCCGACCCCACCGCCTCTGCGACCACTCGGTCTGGGTGAGTGGGTCCAGACGAGGCCTCCATAGGTGAGTGCTGCAGGGTAGGTGAAGTCAGTGGCTTGGATCCAGGTTTCGGTGACCGCTAGGAGGTTGAGGGAGTGGGAGACAAAGAGGTCATGGATGGCGGTGAGCTTGTTGCAAACCGAATGGGCGTTCAGGAGTGCAACCGAGAGAGGAGGGGTGGATGCGGGGAGGAGGAGGGACAGGTATGGGGTTGAGGGGGTTGCGGCGGCTGGTGGGAGCAGGAGGGTGCCTAGAGGGGGAGTGGGGGGGCCAGGGTTTGGAGAGATGTCACCGGCGGTTAGGAGAAGGGTGAGGAAGGTGGCATGGGAACGGGATGTGCAGGAGCGTGTGGATCTGTTTGTGGTGGCGTGTGGGTCGGTGGGAGAGTGGAGTATTAGGAGGAGGTGGTGAGAGCGGTAGTGGGTAGAAGGAAGAAGTGAAGGAGCAATGTAGAGCTGTTTTGGGGGAGTAGGGGGGTAGAGGGAGGCGATTTTGGGAATGGAGGAGAGGAATACGAAGAGGAGGAGTGCAGGTGGCATGTTAGGGTGGGCGGAGTGCTGGTCAGATCGGGGAGGTGAGAGGTTTCATATCAGGGTGTGATGATGCGGAGAGTCTGTCACGTCGTGGTGGAGTTCATCTGTGTCCATCTGTAGGAGGAGAGTGCGAGTGGTGGGCGGCTGGGTCAGCAGCTGGCTAGTTGCAGTCTGTGGGTGCTGTAGGCTGGCGTCCGTGGGTGCTGTGGCACGGCGTCGGTGCGTACAGTGGCCCGGCG